AAGGGATTAATATCCCAAATATATAAAATGCTCATGCAACTCAACACCAAAAAAACAAACAACCCAATTAAAAAATGGGCAGAGGATATGAAGAGACGTTTCTCCAAAGAGGACATACAAATGGCCAACAGGCATATGAAAAAATATTCATAATATAGCATATGTTAGAATTTTCTTCCTTTTTAAGACTGAATAATATTCCTGTATGTATACATATATACCACATTTTATTTATCCATTCATCCATCAGTAGACAACTTGGGTTGCTTCTACCTTTGGACTATTGCGAATAATGCTGCTACAAACATGGGTGCACAAATATCTATTCAAGTCTCTGCTGTCAGTTCTTTCAATATAAACCTGAACGTGGAATTGCTGGATCAAAGATAGTTCTATGCTTAATTTTTTGAGGAATCACCTTGTAGCTTCTTATGTCAGAGGAATAGAGGAAGAGCAGTTGGTAGAGGGAAAATAAATAGTAGCTGTTGCCATTGTACACATAATAAGGATTGAAATTTTTTTTTTTTAAGATTTTATTGGGGAATCAGGGAAGGGAAACAGACAAGTTGCTGTCCTTTGGTTCTTCAGTCTAGTTGTGGAGGACATCACTTCACTGGCCCAAGTTGGTATTATCGCGCTCTTCCCGGGTGAGGCAGATCAGTCGCTGGCTTCTGGACGGCCGCTCACGATGGCTGCTGGCCACTCACGCTGGCTGCCGGCTGCTCACGCTGGAGGATTGAAGTACTAAGATCTAAATTTCAATTCTACCTTAGCCACCTATGAAATATATGATCTTGGGTAAATGACTTACCTGGTTTAAACTTCTCTATATTTATCTGTAAAATGAAAATAATAATGCTTTACTGGATTTTTGTGAGGATTAAATGAGATTATATATGTGATACTTAGTAATTTATAAAATGCTATATAAACATTTCCTAGATTAACTGGACCAGATTCCAGAAAAACTCAGCCCTTGTGATATCTTTGATAATTAATCACCATTATTACTAAGCTGTTCAAATTCCCAGCAAAGTATTCTCTTAGGATTTCAGCTGGTGTAGGTAGAGCTCACATTTTCATTCACTACCCTAGACCACCCAAATAAGGAGCCACCCTCAGCAGGTTAATTGTAATCCTGGTCAAATGCCTTGGAGCTCACTACCAGAGACTGTAATATCGATACTTTATAGCTTAAGGTTCATTTGGGAGTTAATGTTGTATGTGTGAATGCAAACCAGACCCTCTGGTCCCACCACTGCCCTGATCTTATAATGTATAGTCCATAGCTCCAGGATAGCTCCAAAATAACTTCAACATCCAAAGAATGTATAAGCTAGAATCTGCTTCCAATTCAGGTGTCACTTGCCTAAAAGGCAAGGGTCAATATCACTATCGCTATGGATTAAAGTAGCGGTATCTAATCCTCTGTACTCACTTCGTGGTCCAGGGATCTGGAAACGACAGGCCCTAGGTGGCTAAGAAGGACAAAGCCAAAAACAAAAAACAAACAAATAAAAAAAGACTCACCCATCCAGCTCGGGAAACAATGGAGTTTTCTAAATTAAACAAGTATCTCATGTAAATCAAGTCCTGTATTACTTGCAGTCTATGGAGAGACGCTTGATTTTTTTCCCCCTTTTCCTCCACCTCCTACTTACTATTCTTTTACTTCTTTAAAATAATAATAATAGTAGTAATAGTAATAAAGGTTCTGACTGGAGGATATAAGGAATTGGTCATGACTCTTGAAACTTTTATTCTTGTTGGCACTAGTTCAAATTCCTGAGGTCTAGCCAAAAATAATTCTCATCTAGAGTGGTTTCAATAGTCACTTCACATAGTAGGTTACTGGCCCTCTTGTTATAGTCACTGATTTTTTATTGTTGTTATTAAAGCCAAAATCAAGGCTAAAATTCAAATGGAATGACAAGGAAGCTCTTTCTTTTTCTTTACTTTTCTCTTCATAAGGTAAAAAAACCTTTCTTATAAAAAAATGACATGTGGTCCTTGTAGAAAACCTGGAAATTTTCAGAAAAGTGTAACAAAAGGAATAAAAATTATATATAATTTTAACATATGGAAATAACAATTGTTTTATATTTTCATGTATGCCCTTCCCATCTTTTTCTATTGATACATATACATATATCCTAAGATTGCATACTACATGTGCAATTCTGCATGTTTTTAAGTGTACCATATTTCCCCATGTATAAGACACACCCTAATTTTGGGGGCTGCAATTTGAAAAAAATGTATTACATAAAGTTATTGAACTCAAGTTTTATTCATCATAAAATTCATACAACTCCTCATCACTTGCAGGAAATGCAAGTAAAAAAATCTACAACCACTGTATAAGATGCACCCAGTTTTTAGACCCCAAATTTTTCGAAAAAGGGTGTGCCTTATACGTGGGAAAATACGGTATGTCATAAGAATTTTCCTGTGTCAATGAATATTCTTCATAAATATTAACTTTAGCCTGCACAGTGTTTTATCATAAGGATAGATCATTGTCTGTTTCAATTTCTGTATTATTGGTCTCTTCATTTCTTTCCATTTCTCAATAACGTAAGCAACTCTGACATAAAGATTTTAGCCTTTTTTTTTTTTTTTTTTTTTTTTTTTTTTTTAGCTAGCCATCCTTCCACCTGTTGGCAGCTCAGCGGCAGCTCAGCTTGGGCCACGAATCAAACCGGCGACCCTGTTGCTCAGAGCTCACACTTTTGAGCGCGCTCTTAACCAACGGAGCCACTTGGCCAGCCCTTTAGCCATTTTTTTAAGATAGCTTTCTAGAAGTGAAATAACTGGGTCCGATTTTTAGATATGAAAATATTTAAGAATTGGCTTTTTAAAGAAAGCCATCTATGGGTTGTTAAAGGATTAATGACACATCAACTCTAAAACATCTTTGATAACTTTGTAGCTACATATACTCAAATAATCTCTGCATGCATTACTGTTAATTGACTGACTCTAACCTTTCATTTCAGACACTAGGATGCATCTCTTCCTCTTTCCTATTCCAAGGGATTGACATCAGGAGGTCTGACAGCCCGTATACAAGCCTTGTCAGACAAGCAAGCATGCTCATCCTGTTTACGACTGCCCATTTTCCCCATTACTTTCAACAGCCATATTTTGCTTCTTTTCTCTTCTTTCAGATGGAATGGGCCGAGTCCTTGCTCAAGATGTATATGCAAAAGATAACCTACCCCCCTTCCCAGCATCAGTAAAAGATGGCTATGCTGTTCGAGGTAAATATTTTGGTTTTTCTTGAGTATCATCATAGCTCACACTGTATTTTTTTTTCCAGATTTTTGGCTCAGCCCAGGCACCCAACAATTGTTACATCTGTTTCCCCCTTGGTTGTCAAAATAATTTCATTCACAGATAACAATATTAATCTACAGCTATGTACTTTCTCACACAATCTTGATTAAAACTTCAGTGAAAGTACTACAGTTACTTGAAAATTCTTATTTACAAATATATCTGTAGATATTGACTTAAAAACACACACACACAATATTATAATTTATTCTTCCAGCCTCTACATATACCAGATAACAGACAGTCTTGGTCTGGAAGTTTCCCACATATTTTCTAGTTGAAAACATCTATATGGTACAAGAAAGAAGAGCAGATTCCCATCACAGGGATAAAATGGGTGATCTTTTCTCCTGCTTTAAACTCAAACGCCAATAAAGGCTTCATAAAAAGCAAGCATGAGAGAAGCCTCTAATTCTCTGTAAGATGCCATATTTCAAAGCTGTGAAATCCCAGATGGTACCAGCAGCTCACACCTTTGGAGTTGCCTGAGATTGCATAAAGCTTAAAAGCAAATGCGAAATAGAATTTGCCTGCCTAAAGTCCAGTCTAAGAACCCAAATTAAAAATGCAACTGACTTGCTTAGAAACGATTATTGGTATTAACTCAAGGCTGATGTTGTTGAAGAAATACCTAAAAACATTTCCCAGTTTACCAGAGCTGTTAAGAACACCAATTCCTTTTTAATGGTCATTTATGGAGCCTCTTAATTGTTTTTTTGCCGTTTTCTTATTTAGCTATTAAATTAATTTTCCTTTTTTTGTAATTAAATACATTCATTAATCTCCTCCATGTTCCATCACCATCTCTTAGTAGTATGTTTTTATGTTGGAGGCAGTATAGTAAATGGTTAAGGATTTGGGCTTTGAGCAAATTAAGAGTGATCTGGGCTCTAGGTCCAGTTCCATCATTGTAATGTTGAGCAAATCACCTAAACTTTTTGAGTTTCAATTTCTCATCTGTAAAAGAGCGATAATTATAACAGGTTGTTGTAAGGATTGAATGAGACTGTAGAAAGCCTTAGTAAAGTACCTGGCACCAAAAATAAAAAGCACTCGATAATTGTTTCTTAAAATGTTTAATAATATTAACAATTATTATCACTACAATTATTATAATAAACACATTCACTTAGACCATTTCTGAAAAAAAGATAACATTTATTTGAATTGTTAATCTTATATTTTATGTACATTAAATGGTGGGGAGAGTAATTCCTATTAGTGTATACTTCCTCAGGAACACTATGTTGGATGTACCTCATTCAACTTGATCTCACTAAATAAGGGTATTTCTGAAAACATAAATAACAAATCCCCAATGGCTCTTGTTGTTTTGTGTTTTTTTCATATTTATTCCTTTTGCCGTGTTTATTATATAATGCATAATGTCTAGGAAGAAAATTATTTTAATCTTCTGTTAGCCTCATTGGCTCTTCTTGTTTCTTATTCCCCATCTGAAATGTAAATTCTCTTTTGAACCTATAATTGGTAGCTATATAGGATTACTATAAAATCACAAAGAATTCTTACTTCCAGAATAGAACGAACAACTACAGCAGATGAAATACCAACAGTACAAGAAAGTCTATTTTTCACATTCCTTGTAATATAAAGTAGGAGAAAGTGAGAAATAAATTATTTGAGGCAGAATTATTCTCAGACAAAATGTTGTTCTGTGATTTTTGCATGAGGTAGCAGCAGCTCAATAAAAAGAAACCATTGTTCTTAGCTTTGCCAGTTGCCAAAAAGAGTGATTAGCCCCCACGAGCCATAAAAGAGCCCTTCTGCTACTAGAGAATCTATCAAAGAAATTTTATGTAAAGTTGCCATTCAGTATCTTATTTATTCTTTTGTTTTGAAGCGGTGGTGTTTTAGTTATTTCACACACAAAGGAAAAAAAAAACATCTAAAATGACATCTCACATTATGAAAGTTTCAACAGATTACGTACCATGCAGATGATTCACATTATTTCTTTCCTGTGAAATGTTGATAGTTCTCTAATATATGGAACACATAACAGAGACATAACACATAACAGAAAACTGTTGTGGATATGGTTAAATCTGAAATTGGGAATGGTTGGTGTGTCTGTGTAATACACACACACACACACACACACACACACCTCAACATCATAATTAAACAGCAAAAGTCCTGAGTGAACAAAAAGTCATGGTCTTAGTCTTTTCTGTGTTGCCACCCTCAGTGTTTTGGTAAAGAATATCCTTGAAGCTATTGGTGTGGCTCTCGACCACTCCGTGTACCTTCTTATCTCCACCTCATCTTCCTTTACTGTCGTCCCTTTCTCCCCACTCCCTTTATTCTCCCTTTTTTTCTTCTCCTCTGCCTTTGCCTTAGGCCTTCCAGTAATAACCAGTGGCACCTGTGAGCATTGCTAACCCTCTAGGTGTAAAGAGGTTTCTAATTTGCTCTGGACCACTAAGCATTAGCCAATATCCTTCCGAAACATGTGGCATAAAACTCCAAACCAGTTGGAGGATCACTTCCTTGAAGGTATGTGGGTTGAAAAATCAAGACATTAAAGAAATGACTAAGGAAACAAGAAATAAAAACAGCTTTTTACAAAAGAAGAAAGAATAGAATGTAAAGAAGCCAAGAATCAAGTGATGATGATTTAAATAATAGGAAGAACTGTAACCTAATAAACCTAGAACTGCATTTAGGAGGAAGTGAATTTGAAAGATAAAAGAAAATGAAAGCATATTACTAATTAGAATCAATATAATATTTTTATTTTTCATATTTTTTAAGTTAATTTCTTTCTTCACACTAATCATCTTCTTGATGCATTCACACCCTCCTGTAGACATGTGGGTGCCCGTTGCCTCACAGTTCCTTCTTAGATGTTAATAAAGGCAAAATATCTCAGAATTCCAAACTCAGCTTTCTTGAAAATGTTCAATTTGAAAGGCTTGTCCCTTCAAAACTTGTTTTGGGATCATTTAGAAAAAGGGAAAATTATGAACAAGCCAGTAATTATTTTGAGAACCACATGTAGCAAACAGTTGTGGGAGGATATATTGAGAGAAATCCTTGCCATTTAGGTAAATTTTAAAGGTTTCTTTTTACATTCTGATTGAAATACATGCTTATGGAAAATACAGAAAATCAGAAAGAACATTTAAAAATTACCCATTATCTTACTGCCTAGCCACTATTAATATTTTGTTGTACTTTCTTCCAGTGGGTTAAACTGCATACTAAAATTCAGTCTAAACTTTTGGATTTAAAGCTAGTTCTTAGTCTTTAATAAAAGTCATGTTCTGGGGTTTCTCTTTTGTCCATTCAAAACCTCTTTGGTCACACCTGGTTCTCCAGCTCTTTTGACAGCATATTGCCTTCCACTATAGGACACTTTTGATGAAGAAGAGAGCCTTATGATGTGGGAGTATTACTCATGTGCACAGAGAGATCATTTGGAATAATTAATTTTAGTTAATACTGTATTTAAGGAAATAACCTTTTTTTCCTAATACTAACAATAAATGGGCATTTTTGTCTTCAAAGATGATGGTAAAGGATATAAAATGCCTTTTCATTCATCTGTCTTACTGTTAGCTCTCTGCTTTCCATAAAAAAAGGCAGAAGATTTAAAATTCCAAATAACTCAGTAGCATTTTTCTCAGTCTGTTGAGATCTTGCTTCTAGGCATATCCTGTGCTGGCTCAAATAAGTTTTTATTAAAATTCTTTAAAAAAAAATCCAAACAACTCACCTGACTTAACCCCTCAGTATAATTGCAGCATATATTAGTCCTGTTATGCTAGTCTTATCACCTTCCCTTGCCCCCACCCCAGCTCTGCCTATAACCTTATTTTAGTATACACATAAACACCTATCATCCTGGTCTTAGATAGTTTGGGTCCATTATCAAAGTAAATTCTTAATCCCTCTACCTTATTCCTCTGTTGAAAATATTTCCTGGTACCTCTGAAAGTTATGCTGTCTATATAGCCTCACTGTATTCAACCCTAACATGGAAATGAGACTCTTTATTATTGAATATAAATGAATAGTTTTGAAGTGTTTCCAGAGGCTTAAAGAGAGCTCACATATGGCTGGTAAATGAAAATGAGGAATAATTCTATGGCAAGTGGCTTAGGGGAGATCATTTTCTATACAGTGCCAAATGAGTGGTTAGCTAATGGTACCAATTTTGTATCAAATGACATCAGAAATCTTTAAATAAATAGGTAAACAAGACTAAAAATATTTTGTGAACATTAACAAAAGGGTGGACGTGGGGAGCAGCTTCAAGGTCTAGCATTAAGCATTATAAATTACTTATATACTGCATTTGCTGTTAGATTTGGTTTATATTGTTTTTATCACTTCCTTCTAATTAAATTCTACAATTACAAAACAGAAAAGTTATTAACAGAAATATCAGGATTAGGGAGGAAAAAATTCTAAGCCTTTACATAAATCCTTGGAATCCATCTTTTCTAGTATCATACTGTGGCTTAATTTTTTTCAGGCTTTAGGTTCACATACCACCCTTTCTCCGCTTCAGCCCCCTCCCACCCAAGCTTGTAGAATTCATCTTGAAAATGGCAACTTTTCTTTTTACCTGTCTCTTTAATAGATATTTTAAAATAAATATCAACTGGTTAGATTGATCATAACTTTTCTGTCTTTATAAGAAACAGTGAATCTTGGTGTTAACGTAAAACCAGAACTTCTGTTGTTGTTCACTAATTTTTTATTCCCTAAGCTTTCTCTTGGTCTGCATTTGTCTGTATTCAGTTCAATCTTATAATGCTCTGCTCCTCAAAAAGGGTAGTCCATGAATCAGCAGCATCAGCTTGTTAGAAACCTCAGGCCTTATCCCAGACCCAGTGAATCAGAATCTAGTTTAACAAGATCACCAGGTGAATTGTATGCACATTAAGGGCTGGGAAGCACTGTTGTGAGGAAAGTAATAGAAAATGACTCCTCTCTTGTTTCCAACAGACTTCTGTAATGTTGGTTGACTGACCCTTCCTTGGCCAGCAATCTAGAGGCAGGTTTCCCGTGGCAAGTTTAAGTGAGCACATATTCTCTCCCCAGTCAGGGCACCTTCCCTAATAGCAAAGGAGCTTGCTGCTTAGATTAGAATCACTTAAGGCTCTTTCAGATTTTGATCTCCCTGATGCTCTATACCAGGCTTGCCCCAGATGACCTCCAGTCACCTATTTTTCAGTGACTTTATTTAGAGCATTTGTGCAGACATTGATAGAAGCATTTTGAGTACATATGCATTGGCATGTGTGGGGAAACAGGAGACAAGAGGGAGACTAAAGAGTGGAGAGTTTCAGAAAGACACAGGAAGTGATCCCTACTTCTACGGAGCTCATAATGTAGCTGACGAGAGAAAATATACTAGTTTATGAATTATTTAAGAAGATTTACAAAACACAATACTAACATGTACAGGTCAGTTTACAAACTTCCCATCTAAGTGTTATAGAAATGCCAAATTCATTTCTTCATTCTTTTAACAAATATTTATTGAACATTAACGATGAGCTGGGCATTATGCTAGACTGAATAACAATGTAAGTTATATAGAATTAATCAGAGCAGTCTTTCTAAACATTCTAAAGATGGTGAATATTGACTCACATTTTGAAGAAAACAATATACATGGACTAGCAGAAAATGAAAGACATTCAAAATACAGTATTTTGTGTTGAAAAATGTTATTTATTCATTCATGCATGCATCTTTCTAAAAAGATTGTTAGGAGCCAAACTCCTTTATTTACTGAACGTTTTGACTACTTAACGTATTGAACATTTATTGAATACCTATTATGCAGCAAGTGCTAGGGATCTCCCTGAGGCAAAATAAGCCAATTTATTAGGATGCCATAATTAGAGTTACTTCCAGAATACACTGGAGAAACAAAAGATGAAGTAGGTGTCTCTTGAGGGAGGGGAGTCAGATATGACTTCATAGAGAATATGACACTTGAACTGAGTCTTAAAAGCTAAGAAGTCTTTAATCAAAGATAAGGATGAAGAAAAGGCACTCTAAGCAGTGGAAGTAGCATATGTTATGGAGCTGAAATGTTAGCCATCTTGGTGCTCTCAGGGAGGTACAGTACTAGGAGTTGAGAGTGGCTAGAGTATAAGATAGAAGGAGGACATGAACCTGAGGCCCTTCCACTGCTCTTTAGGTGAAGATCTTTAGATGGAGCATTTCCACTTAATATCTGCCTGTCTATTTATCTATCATCTATCTGTTTCAGCATTTTTACTTCATCTCCCTCTCTCTCTCTCTCTCTCTCTCACACACACACACACACACACACACACACACACACACACACACACCCCTACCTTTTGCCTACTTAGCTTTCTTCATCCTTCATATGCTTTTATCAGGGTTGTAGTTCTGGTACTTTCATTGTATGGTCTCATAAAACCATGTTCCTTCCCTTTACAGTGGTTTTCTTAATTTGTATTTATATATTCATTAATACTATTGTTGGATTAATATCTGTCTTCTCTATTACATCAGTAGCTTTAAGAGTTTTGTTTTAACCACACCCATAGGACACATATTAAATATATTACACATTCCAAGCCATTGATATACACACACATATGACATATACAGTACATACAAATACACATATGCACACCCAAATATATGTTTCATGAAACAGTGTTTATCCTTACATGTGAGATAAAATATATTTTCTATTCTTTTTCATTTAAAAAATTGTTTACAAGTTGATTTTACAGCTCGCTTTTTTTGTATGTGATCCAGAGTTTAAAAAACATTGTGGTCTGAAGTTTTAAAAACATTACAACAGACTGGCACTGCATTGTAATAGCAATAATGTCTGGTTTTACTCTCTACTTGGTCCCAGCACCTAATATGACGCTTGGGGCATAGAAGACACTTGGTAGAAATTTAGTCAGTGAGTGAAAGGAATGAAAAGTATGATTATTCCCATTTTTATCAACAAGAAAACTGAAGGTCAGAGAAAAGTTTAGTAATTGCTGAAAGTCCTGAGGCTGATGACAGGCAGAACCAGGATTCAGATTCAGCTTTGTTTTACTCTAAAGCTTTGCTCATTTCCCCTTGTGCACAGAAGTAAAAAGAGAAATCTTTAGTTGCTAATGGGAGTTGGCAAGCTGGCAATAGCTCTAGTAGAAAATAATTTAAAATAAGTTTATTCACATTTGAGATGCACTTAGTGCAGAGCTCTGAAAGATAATTGACTTTTTAATTTTCTACAGTGAGAAAATCATGATTGTCTTCAAAATACTGCAAAAATAAGTGGGGGAAAAGATGCAACAAGATTGGTAAAATGTTGATAATTGTTGAAGCAATGACTTCTATGTTTTTTTAAATTGTTCACTTAAAAATTAAAAAAATGAACCTATGAAAACAGTATAATAAGAATAGCATTGCAGGAAAATGATTCTCTTTTTCGTAACCAAACATTGAAAATACAAAAGATTCAAAAAAATACAAGAAAGCCAAGAGTATATTAACTGAGATAATGTCTATGAAGCATAAGCACAAGATACAACATCCTGTACATAGAAGAGACTCAAAATTAATTTTTGCCCCTCTCCACATCAGGTTAACCAGAACCATTGTGGGGAAAGGGTGGCTCCTTATTAACAGCGTTGTATAAGCCTTTAGTAAAAACACTACATTGTAATCACACAAAGAAACAATAAAAACCATATGTTCTTTTTAAAAGAGTTCTTTTATTATTTATCAACCCGATTGCAAATATAATTAAAATATTCATATAGAATGTGTTATATTTTCTGTGTGTGTCCCAAACTCTTGGCTGAATGCAGATGACATGGAAGTAATGCAGTAGCATTCTTCTGCAATCCACGTCATATGTGAAGAAAACCCTTTTGAATACATTTATCTCCAGGAATAGTTTTTCCATCCAGTCGTTACTATATTGTATGTAGAAAAAAAATGGATAAGAATTTTTTTCCATCTCAGTTGTGAATGGGTTTCTTCCAATTTAAAAATAGGCAATGGAAAATATGATGTAACACTGCCTATACATTCTGATTCAGAAATAGAATTTTGACCCATTATTAAATATACATATATATGTAATATATAAGTATATCACATATATATAAATATATATATATATGATACACATACATATACTATAATGTGAATTAAGGGACTGGGTTTTAGTCCTAGCTCTACCATTAACCAGAACTTGTTCAAGGTACTTAAACTTTTCTACCTGAGTTCCTTTGTTCTGAAACTCATTTCCTTCTAATGTCAAGTGAAGAATCAATGTTCTTCCTACTTCACTGGGTTATTATGAAGATCAAACTGGGTATTAAATAAGCAAATAGAATGAAACAGTTAAAAATTGTATAGAAAATGGAGAAATATGGATATATATAGTGATCCACACACATCATGCATACATACCCATGGATAATGTGGTATTTATTTAAGAAGGTAGGCTAAAAGAACTTCTATTTAAAAAGTACATGTACAGAAATTATCAAGCAACAGGAAGATTACCTGAAGTGACACCAAGAAAGGGCACAAATTAGGAACACTTCTCTTGGTACTTGTGAGTTTTGGATACCAAAGATCAAACCAGTAGTAACAAAGCCATTGTCTAGTCTAGGAGATCAGAAAAATACTCCACTTTCCTAAAGCCTTACCTGGTGATTTGAGTCAAATTTTAGAATTCCAATACTAGGTTTTTATTCCTTGCTATAGGTCCATCCTGATGTTTGTTCTTGGTTTTATTCATTTCACAGCTGCTGATGGCCCAGGAGATCGGTTCATCATTGGGGAATCCCAAGCTGGTGAACAGGTGAGATTCGTAGGCCAGAAAGGCCCTAAAGATTTCAGTTTCATGGACTTTCAGGATCTAATTCTAAGTTTCTACCATCATTGTAATGGAAATCTTAGAGAAGGATTAAACAGGTTATCAAAGACATTAAAGCAGTGGTTCTCAACCTGTAGGTCGCGACCCCTTTGGGGGTCAAACGACCCTTTCACAGGGGTCACCTAAGACCATCGGAAAACAAAAAGATATTTACATTACGATTCATAACATAACAAAATTACAGTTATAAAGTAGCAACGAAAATAATTTTATGGTTAGGGGTCACCACAACATGAGGAACTGAATTAAAGGGTCACGGCATTAGGAAGGTTGAGAACCTCTGCATTAAAGGATAGTTCCCATGAGAAAGAACCAATTACTTCTTAACTGAAAGAATCTGCATCTATGAATAGATGGCGTGGTGGTGTTGGTTTGTCTCACAGACTTGCCCCACAAGCATGTTCCAGGCCTGTGATTGGATAGATGATTCTTTCTTCCTATATAAACATCAGTGTTCTGAATAGAACTACAGTTTCTAAGTGGTCTTCTCAGACTTTTCCCCAACTTGTGTTACAAACAGAAATTTAAAAGAAGCAGATTATTTTATCTCTCTAGCTAATCATTTAGATTAATTTTTCTCATTAGGGAGCTAGCCAGGGAACAGGTATACCTATATTTCTGTTAAGAAATGAAGCACAAATGGCCCATAATGGAAGTAAAATAGAAGTCCTCTTCTCTAATGCTTTTGAGACCAGTAATTGGACATTTAATTAGAAATAAGTTAAAGTGCAAACTTACTTTATATTTTTAAAATAAATATAAAATTAACTTAATAAATGAACATTTACTTGTCATTTAATTTGATGGGGAGACAAGGCTTTTTTTTGTAATAAGTATCTGCTATTTGAATTTCTACCTGGTCTTTCTTATATAAATCACACCCAAAAGGCCTTTTATGTTATTTCCAGTTTGAGTTTCTTTAAAGTGGAGAAGAATGTAAGGACATTTGCAAAGGATCTAAGTATAGAATCCTTCTAGACTTTTATCATATTTTTACAACTTTTTATAGTTGCTTCATCCACACCTAATTTGTCAATAATTCTTGTTAGCAATACTTTTTAATCAAATTTTTCCAAAGGTTTAACTTAATTTTAAAGAAAAAAAGTAACTTTTCACAGTCATGTATCATTGGTTTATGTAATATTTATTTAAATTATATAATTGCATAGCAACTCTTACTACAAATTGGCACAAACAAGTTTGAGAACAAACTCAATTGAATCTTAAAGAGCAGCAACTTACAGGTATTCAAGAGAAGAGTCTAACAGCTTCAAACTTGAAATGTGCTGTGGGCATCATGACGTTTAGTAGGAAATAGACAATCTATGTTAATCCAGTAAATTGTGAAAGTTGATTAAAGAGCTCCTACCTTATAATATAGAACCAGAGGGAGATAAAAGCACTTCTCTCCTTTGCTACTTACTACCAAACACTCATAAGCATTATATAAAAATAAATGAAATAGATTATAGATAGATAGATAGATAGATAGATAGATAGATAGATAGATAGATAGATAGTGTCAGATTGGGCGAAAGCTATGTCCATGCCTTTTCTTCCTTGTCTTAGCATGTACCCTGATATGTACTGAAAATAGAGAGGGTTGAAAATATATATAGGAGAAGAATGGTGCCAATGGTGGTGACCCAAGCTCCCACATCTCTACATCCAAGCATTGAGAAAAACTGTGTACAGATCTCTAAAGCTGAGTCTGGGATTATAATGATTAGATCCTTGTCCATGCTGTACACAGGCTGATATGATTGTTTTCCTGACAAACAACAGCAATGCCTGGGTCTCTTTTTTATAAATGACTTGCATTGTGACCTCATAATTCATTTGACTTCTGTGGACATCTAAAGCATCCATTTTTATAACAAAGCCACAAAATATCAGTTACTCAAGGAGTACTTCTCTGATCTTCAACTGAGTACTTCTCTGATCTCCAACATTTATAAAACATACCTACTGTGTGTACCAGGCACTGTGCTAAGTTCTAGAGATATAAAGTAGATTAAAACATAACTACTACACTTAAGGAGTTTACATATAGTGGAGGAGACAGAGTATAAACAACTAAATATAATACAATATATTGAGTGTTAAACTAATGCTGTCAGTCGTTGTATGGAGCACAAAAGAGAGGTTGAGCATCTCATCCTAGGAGAATTAGGGAGATGGCTTTGCAGCTGGGCCTAAGAGAGTTTTACTAAAGGGACATGCCAGGAGAGAGCACAATATAAGGCAAGACCCAGTGGTGTTTTAAAATTTGCATGGAATGCTTAGGGAAGTTCAAATAGTTTATGTGATCACAGCCTAGTATGCATAGGGTTAGGTGTAGATTGTTAAGGGCCTTGTGGACCTCTTAAACTTTATTTACTAGCTAAGACCTCCACTTGTACTAGAGAGCTAGGAACACAAGAGTTGTGAAACTTAAACATTACCAACTTCTTGCAAGCTCTTATAAAAGCTTAATGGGAAAAAAGATCAAAACTATATAAGAAAATGGGTTTTCCCCCAAATATCCTCTGATGTACTTTAGCTACTACTTATGTATCATACAGACTTTGCAGCAATTTCAGAGATCTTATAAGAGCCAAATTGCTCACTCATTGAAAGTACATACACTTGAGTATTGGGGTACCATTGCGACAGTGATTTACAAAATGGTTTCTTGGTATACCAAAATACTTGACCGTAAATAGCTTAAGTTTCATCCTATTGCTTAGCACTAGAGACCTTCAAAGAAAATATTATGGAGTTAAACAAGCTGTCTTTGGACAAAGCTAAAAAAAATCTAACTCAATACCTCTATTAAAGAAAACAATCAAGATTTTAACTGTTTTTACTTTATATAAAGCATATAATGTATATCAATAAAAATAAAAAAGAACTGTAACTAGTCTTAATCTAAAGGAAGTACTTCAGATAGTGCTAGAATTTTTCAGTTGATTCAATAAAATTGTAGTTTATATGTCTATTCTAAGTGGATCTATAAATGTCTTTATATATCCAATAACATCTTTTACATTGGTTTAATAAAAGTGAGCTGGTAGTAATCTACCATTAGAATTACTATTCTTGGAAAAGAGCCCAATTTTTTTGTTTAATACCACACAAAAACACTTAAGAGTTGATTTAACACAGAAGGAGAGAAAATTACAGACACAACCACAATAAAACTTAAAGTACATTTACAGAATATGGTACATTGAACCCAACTAATTTGAGGTAGGGTAATGTTAAATCAAGTTAAAACTTCTTGGTGTAAATGTATCTATTTGTGGGTAACTTTCATTACATTGGCCCAAAATGAATAAAACTGTAAGACTTTCCTTTTATGGTTTGTTTCTAAAAGTGTTACATTTCCTGCAAACTTTTCCTTTGCATCAGTAAAGTAAATCAACTCTTTCTTGTATGTTTGTATTTCCAGCCGACTCAGACAGTAATGCCTGGACAAGTCATGCGGGTTACAACAGGTGCTCCAATCCCCTGCGGTGCTGATGCAGTAGTACAAGTAGAAGATACCGAACTTATCAGGGAATCTGATGATGTACGTCATCACCAGGTCTTACCGCTGCAGTCCTGTGGCAATATTTTAAGTCATGCCCATTTTCTGCAATGTTTATGAGATTCACCCAGTTTGTTGTTGTTGGTGGTGGTGGTTATGTTAGGATCTTATACTGTAGTGTATGGGTCTCCACGAAATAAGGAATTGCCTTAGCCTTGAAAATATTTTGTTATAGGAGACTTTTTGTGGTGATAGCAGAATTTGAGCCACATTTGATCCAAGAAATTCCACATGCAAACAAGGAAAGAAATTATCTCAAGGTAGAAGAACAGAGATATTAATTGTTAACTTACCTTCTAGCTGAGAAATTTGCTCATTGAGACTCGCTTCTGATAAAATGGAGGAATTTCAGTGGGGGATTTAACAAAGAACACTTGGGCAAGTTCTTGAATATTACACTAAGCCAACCATTTGAGCCAAATGACACTCATCTCTGGTTTCTATAATTCAGGAAAATTCTTGCCACCGAATAACAGCCTAGAAATATTTAGTTGATGTTAGTTTCCCCTCTGTTGCCTAAAATATAGGACCCTAATCTTTTTTGGTCTAAGCAGGCCTTCATGTCACTAAAACTAGTGCCAGTTATTGAAACCAGAGGGTCAGCCACTAATAAAACAATAGTTTCAACTGAGGCTTTGATGACTAGCTATCTTACTTGTTAAGGTTAAGATATGTTGTATTTTAAAAGCTGGAGTTAAAAATAAATAATATTCTCCTAGCCTGGTATATAGTAAAATTTGGCCATGCTGAGAGACGGCCATTTTTCTTGATCTGGGGATTTTTTTAATCATCTTCCCACATGTAAGGCTTATAAAATTCAACTCTTGGCATACAGATCACATTGCTTGCTGTTAAAACTGTCCAGCAGATTTATTGGCATCAGGGAAGCCAACAGAGCATTGAAATCCAGAACACTTGCATCCACAGACTCTGCCAGATGACAAGACACAGTTCCAGTGTCACAATATTATTCACAGCCCATAAATGTAAAATTGATGATCACTATCAATTTACAAAAATTTACTACCAAGCAAGCTATAAGTCCTTCACTGAAATATCTGCAGATATTTTGGAACCTTGGCATAGTATTGAAACCATAATTCATGGGAACAGAAGAGACAGATTACCTCCTTGCGTGTTCACTGTGTCTATTAGGGTAGCCAAATTTTCCCTTGAAAATGCTACTTACAAAGTAAGATTCAATATCTTAATTGGTATATTTTTTAAAAGCATGAAAATATTTATTCCTTAGCAACAAACCTAATTTTGGGGGAACCTGTGGTAGAAATTCATCATGTTCAAAGGGTTTAGCAAATGGTTTTCTGTTTCTCTATATTTGTATATATTCTAGGCCTATCTGATCATAAAAGCATCTGAGGAGCTAAATTCTATCTATCAGAAATTCTGTTAGATTCTGTTCTATTTGAAATTACATGACTTCCTCTTATTACAGGGCACTGAGGAACTTGAAGTACGAATTCTGGTGCAAGCTCGGCCAGGCCAAGATATCAGGTAAGTCCATAACACATAGAATGTGTGGCCAACTTTTGCTTCTACATGATCATAAACTCAGGAGAGCATTGCTATTATAAATCCACAATGCAGTCAATGAACCGTTAACTTTCAGGGCTTTTAACAGTAGGAAAATTAATTTTCTGAACTCTACATCCCATGTCTGCCCTGCCTACTTTTTCACAAAGATGATAAAGGCAAATGAAATAGTCAAAAGCAAAGATGAGACCACTGTCCTACCATAAGTAGTGCATATACTTTATTTTTTTTACAATGGAATATATTTATCCTGATTTCATTAATACTAATTTGCTCAAATCTCCTTGTAACAAAGCTGTACTTCTCCCATCCCTGTGGTAGGAGACCAAGGTGAATGGATTTCTGCCACACAACTGGACCAACCTAAGTGATCCAAATAGAAATCATCTTCATTACTCTAACCTCATTAACATTACTCTCCTCACCACAAAGCTAACAAGCTATAGACTTTTTATTAATATCTTTAATACCATGTAATTTCTTGCCTTATATCAAAGAAAGTTTGCAGTTGGTATTTTTGACAGTAATGTGATACAAAGCAATTTTTAAAATAATTCTCAAATATGAAGTAACATATTCCTGTTTAGCAGTAATAGATACCAATACTATTTCTGTCTTCTGTTGTGTGATTAATATTTTTAATTAAAAAAGCATAGAGTTTAGAATCTCTTCATTTCATTATCCTGCTCCTGCCTCATCTGTTGACTTTTTTCTCTCCTTGAGTGTCTGTCCCTCTTTTCTAACAGTAAAGTTTCCCTCTGAGTTGAGAAAATATTATTCTTACTCATACTACTTATGGTTCTCTTTGACTTTCAGACCCATCGGCCATGACATTAAAAGAGGGGAATGCGTTTTGGCCAAAGGAACCCACATGGGCCCCTCAGAGATTGGTCTTCTGGCAACTGTAGGTGTCACAGAGGTTGAAGTTAATAAGTTTCCAGTGGTTGCAGTCATGTCAACAGGGAATGAGGTAAAAAAAAAAAAAGGGAGGGGGGATGGGGTGTGGAATGGGCCTTGCTGCTAGAAGTGTGCCTGACATCTGTTCTGTGTTGTAAATAGAACATAGTAGATTATAGATCTTAACCACATTCCTATAACAGGGAAATAATAAATTGGCCTCAGGATAGTTCAAGCACAGAAGATGAGAAGGAAGAACTAGAAATTACATATTAATAAATGTTCCCTTCTGTTTATTAGAATGAAATATTACAACTAATGACCTTTCCACGCACTCACTACATGTAAACAAAGAATGTTGATTGACAGCTATAGATATTCAACTATGCAAACTAATTATTAGGCAACTTTATATTAGGACTATGAATTCTACCCACTCTGCTACTAAGTGTGATAGGCCACCTCTGTGTGATCAATAAGTCAGTGAATTGGGACACCATGGCTGGCCCTTCTTGCTAAACTTCCATGTGGTCTTTAATCACCGGGAAGTGTTTGATAATCAGTTTTTTTTTTCTGTAAAGATAGCATCTCCAATGGTATGCCATTCAGAATGTGTCAAAATGTCACCTCAGCCCTGATATAGAAAGGGGAAGTTAGTTTTTTTCTGAGAACTCTTGAAAAACTTCCTATTCCCTATTTTGCTTAGATTATAGAAAAATTCAATTGGAGGCTCTAAGGTGAAACTGGGAATATTGAAAAGTGAATCTGGGGCCGGCTGAGTGGCTCAGTTGGTTAAGAATGCGAGCTCTGAGCAATTGGGTCACCAGTTAGATTCCCACGTGGGCTAGTTAGCTGCGCCCGAGATGAGCTACCGCTGAGCTGCCAGCAGGTGGCAGGATGGCTCAACTGGTGAGAGCACATGCTACTAACAACGAGGCTGCTGGTTCAACTCCCACTTGGGATGGTGGCTACGCCCACCCGCAACTAAGACTAAACACAGCACCTTGAGCTGAGCTACACTGAGCTGCCGACAGGCAGCCGGAAGGCAATTGGACTTGCAGCTGAGCTAGCTGTGCCTTCCACAACTATGATTGAGGGACAACAACTTGGCTGTTCCCCTTCCCCAATTCCCCAATAAAATTTAAAAAAAAAAAAAAAGAAGAAAGAAAAAAGAAAACAAAAGTGAATCTGCTGGAGATTCAAAACCTAAGAGCAGAATCTGAAACTATTGAGGTTTTTTTCAAATTAATTCCTTTAGAACTTTTTATAAAAAGATTAACAGGATATTTTTTTCTGTTTTAATCTCTAACTTTGTTCTGAAAATAAGCCAATTTTTAATTTCTTAGAGTCTTGGAAATGAACCTTTTCAAGGGTCTCTCTACTACCCTTATAGTTCCTTTGGAAAGAGCAAAAGAAAAGAATAGGATATTTTGTTTTGCTAATGGAGAGATAAATAAACATTCTAGATTTGCTTACTTCCCCGTATATGCACGCTACTCATTCCCTAAAACTATTGATTGACCCAAAACATTCTTTTCAACTTATTTACACAGTGATGATTTTAATATCCCTAGGACCATCTGACTTGATGTTTAGCATCAGAAAGTAATTTATTTTAAGCTGGTTGATGTAATGAACTATTCTTATTTGTGATTTATTTGTATGTTTTATACAGCTAAGTGAGTTCATGGAGTTTGGGAATGCTAAATAGAAAGCTAAATAACTAATTACTAGGCAACTTGGTTTAAGGTATAGTTTTTGCATTCTTTGTAGGGCTGGGCTAATATCCTATTATCCCCTGAGTACATTTGTAGTATTTTTTTAAAGTTATTTTTTTTATACTCTTCATTAAAGCTATTTACTAGTGGTAGGGAAAAGTGATGGAGTGAGAATAAGGTGGTGTTTACATCATGGAATCTAAGGAAGAATTTGTGGTCCTAGTTCCCGGCCCTCATAGACTTGATAATCGTTGGAGAAGCTTTGATAGGTTCTGTATGACTCCTTTCACCTACTTTCTGTGGCCTGCTGTATTACTATGGTTTTCCAAGGGAATGATGCTTCTAAATTTTATAATCTCTGGTTCGATATAGTTCAACAGTCTTCCCCTACTTCCATCCCAAGTTAGCTGTTATTATGATTTTTTTTTATCATATAGTTTAGTTCAACAAATATTTATTGGATACCTCTGTGCATGGCACTATACTGGAAACTGGGGATAAAAGAGATAAATAAAACATAGTATCTCTCCTGCAGGCTTGAGATCCTCAGACAGCCAGAAAACAATAGAAAAAAATCATGCATTTATTTTCAGAGAGACCAAAAGAAATTACACCTGTCTATTAATGTGACAAGTCTATAATTTAGTTGGTCATAGCACAGTTCTCCTTAAGTATTAGTTCTGATTTCCCCTAATTTATATGACTTCACATATGTCCACTTCTTGAATCCAGTGTGGTATATTGTAAGCAGAACAGTGGCCTGAGGCAACCCAAAGAATGTCATACAACATGTCTGTGTATGCATTATTTAAAACCTGCCCTGTATTTTGTGACCACGTGAGCTTGTTCAGGATGAAGGAATTATTTCAAAATTGGGGAGGTACAGTTTGTTATAGACTACAACTAATACAGAATAGCCTATGTAGACTATTTGTTTGTTGATTTCAAGAAACTATGGATGTTAAAATTTAGTTAATACCATCCAGTAATTGTACATAATTGTAGGTATATGTTTCCAATGTCGTACATTTGTTCAATAAATATTTATTATCTATTACATGCTGGAATGCCCACCAGGGGTTTTCTTATCTAAACATCAGACTTACAAGATGTAAATACACTATATTGTGAACCAGTATACTTAGAAAGGCATTGAACAAAAAACTCAGCATCAAGCAGGGCAGCATCAGGGTTTCTTCTTCAACAGTCCACACAGCCATCCAAGGGTATTTTCTTTGTTCTTCAAGTGACATTCAGGTGCAAGGGAACAACAATAATAGAAGAGTATGAGAGCCACCAACTTAGAGGACCCATGTTGTACATAAAAATAAGTACTTTTAATAACAGCCTTAGGCAGCTTCCAGGGTCCCCACAAGGAAAATGTCCAGTTACAAGTGTTACCACATTCATGGAAGCCCAAAGCTATGACTTTCTGCTATGTATTTATAGTTCCTTCCAGTTCATATGCAAGTTACCAATCAGAGATCATTTTTACCACAAGAAATGTTGTCTAGTAACAAGCTGACATTTCATCTTTATCAAATATGCAGGGGAACAATGCTAGAAAGTTAACCCAAGGTCAGATTTGTCCTTAGAGATGGAGAAAGGGTTTTGTTAATCCTTTACCCTAACATAAGAAGATGCATTATCTGTAAAAAATTAGAAAACAATAATAAAACCAACTACAGGTCATTCTGCTTTTTATTATCACCATGCACTGGCAATTCTAAGCAATGTCAGTGGTAAAATTCTCCTCTCCATTGGAGGAGACCACTCCTACCACCCCTTCCCCCTTAGTATACTACCGTACTGATGCCAGGCACTATTCTGACTACTGGGGATATAGCAGCAAGCAAGACAGACAAATTCGCTGCTTACAGAATTTATATTTTAACAGTGTGGGAGAGAGGGGGGCTTGAGGAGGTAGTCAATAAACAAACAGTAGTAAATCATATGAAGAAAAATAAAGAAGGGTCAGATGATAACGACTGGTAGTAGAAGAGGTATATGCCAGATGTTATCTGTTGAAACTTACCCCACATCAGCCCTTTTATACTCTCCCCTAAATAATAAGGCTAAAAGCCTGAAAACTCTATTTTCCAGGCTGTCTTTCCAGCTGTAGTCCAGTTAGGTTTTGCCATGGGCAAACATTAACATGGTATTAGAAGGCAGAAGGAAATTACCAGAAGTATAAGCTCCTTAACTCTCAGGAACGTCACTTTCCCCCAGCAGCCCTGGGGATGGGGATGCTAGTGCTTTCCTGCCGTTCCCGATCTTTGGTAACACACTTTCCTCCTTTTGTTTCTCCAACCCCCCCAACACATTTGTAACCAATTCCCTGTGTTAATCCTCCCTTCTCCCACACCCCTCCATGTGAAACACCTAGAGGAGTTTTGGTTTTCCTGTCTGGATCTGATGGATAGTGTTGTTTTATATAGGGTAACCAGGCCTCACTGATGAGGTGAAATTAGAGTGGAAATCAGAAGGCATTGAGGGCATATGTCATGTGAAGGGAACTATGTTCCAAACAGCAGGAACAACGAACGGGAAAGCCCTGAGGCAGGGTGAGTGCTTCTCATGTTTGAGGAGCAGCAAGGAGGTCAGCGTGGCTAAGTGCACAGGGAAGGAAGCAAAGTAAAAGGAGATGATGTGGAGAGGTAACAGAAACAAGATCATTTCATTCTAAGTGGCCCGTTTGGAGGAAGGGAAACAACATGGAATATAACAATGTTTACTCTGGCTCCTGTACGATATGTCAGAAAGGAAGAAAAAGGAACAAAGCAGGGAGACTAGCTATAAGGATCTGTAATGCTTCAGCGAGAGATTTGAACCAGAGTGGTGGCAGTGACGATGATAAATAATCAGATCCAGGATATATTCTGAAGGTAAAGCCAATAGGATTTGTTGGTGAATTCAAAGTAAAATATAAGAGAAAGTGAGGAATCAAGATGAACTCCAAACTTTTTGACCTTAGGAATTCTAAGGATTGTGTGATCATTTACCCAGGTGAGAAAGATTAGGCAGAGAAATCGGGGATTCTCTTTTGGACATGTTCAATTTGAGATACTTATTAGAAATCCTAGTTAGAAATATTAAGTAGATAATTGAACAAATTAGTCTGGAGTTTAGGAGAAAGAACAGAGCTAAAGGTACACATTTGGAAGTTATCATGAAGCTAGATAAAGTCAGCTAGGAAGTGAGTATAGAAGACAGGAAATGCAAGTTTTACACTTAGGAGGCAGTTGTATCTTCCTCCTTTTACCAACCTTTATATTTCCCAGTTGCATTTTCTAATTTTGATTCTTGATGGTGTCATCTCTTTATTCATTAAATGCATTCTGATCCCCTTGAAACT